GGTCCTCTCTCAGGCCCCTGCAAAATCTCCACAAAGGCCAAGGGAGACAGGAACTAACACTGGTCGATTTGCAGTTACTATGTGCTAAGGACCATGCCAAATGCATTCAGCGTGGTAGGGAAATGCCGTCATGGAGCAGGCCTGCCTGGGTTCAAATCCTGGCACTTCTAACTGTGTGACGAACGAGTGAACTTCTCTACACCCCAATTCCTCCATCTGTAAAATGTTGGTAGTACAGAACTTCCTCTGAGGGGTCACTTTGAGCATTTAACTAGTTAACACACATAAAGTTCTCAGACTACCTGCACTGATGAAGAGCCATCATTGCTGTGCTTCTCTTGATTTTCACAGTCACCCCTCAAGATACAGATGGAAAATCCAAGATTGAGTCATTTGCCCAAGGCACAAGCTGGCATAAGCAGAGCTGGGATTTGAACCCAAGTTGAAGGGCTCCAACCTCCATGCCATAGAAACTTCCTCAGGCGTGACCCCATCTACCCAGTAACTGGTGCCTTGTGATCCAGTTGGCTGCAAAACCCATCTCATGTCTGCCTCCACATTCTCCCAAATGTCCTCCTTTCACCAGAGTGACACTGAGGTACAGCAGGCTCCCAACCTTCCTCCCGAAAATGAGCCTTCCAGACCTAAAAAGGTAAATCATTGCTCAGTGGCCAAAAGAGTTCATGTCTTTGAGCTGCTCCAAGGGAAGAGATTTAACCAAAAGCCAGACCATGAGTTGCAGGACCAACAGCCATGGAGGCCCTGCCCAGCCAGGACGGACCTTGAAAAGGGCCCGCCCCAAGGTCCAGAGCAAGAGGTGGGGAAGTAGGCCTCACGCCCCAGGAAGCTGGCTGACAAAGGCAGGCCTGGCCTTTCCTGCTCCACTTCCCTCTCTGGTGGCCTTACGTGCAGCTCTCTCTGCATGGCTCCTATCTTCCCCGGCTGTAGAGGCACTCATGGAGGTCCCCCGCCAGCTCTGGGCTCACATGCCCCTGGATTCCCTGCCAGCCGAGAGCACAGGACTAGGGCTGCTGCTGCTGAGGCCTTTCATCATCTAATATCCTGGAAAAAGCACTGGCCTCAAAAGATTCTGCTACCTCATTTCCCAAGTAGCTTTGGACCTTGGTATCTCTTCTACCTTTAAGATCTATATGGTCAAAAATCAGGTTCTTGTGGTGACCATGCATGGGCTTGGGTGGCCTAAATCTCAGCCTGTGTGAGTTTCCCATGGAGACACTTAGGTGGGCTGAAGGGTCAAGTCCTGGGGACAGAAAGCTTCCCCAGGCCATAGGGAACCTCACCTCGCCTTTTCAGCCAGTGTCTGCACTCCAGGGTCTCTGGGAATCAATCCTTCCATCTTGGTTATCACTCAAGGGACTGACTCCAATGGAGGGAATTCTGGGCTGGTCAGTGGATATGCTCAGCCCTCTCTGAACCCAACCGGTGTCTCCATGAGCTGGGGAATTAGGAAGACATCTGCCATATGCTCAACTACTCCTACGGAAAATAAGCTCAAGGTGCACTATTATATGTCTTTTTGCTTTCAGTCAGAGAGGAAGCTCACATGTCCCCACCACCACCATCACCACCCACCGCAAATACAAACACTCATTCCCTCCTCAAGAGACAGGAGGCCTAGGTTTCCTCCAGACCCAGGAAGAGCTGCTTTTCCCCCTCCTTCCACCACCAGCCCCTGCCCTGAAAGAGGTAATAGTCCCTTTTTTCTACCTCACGGCCCTGCCCCCCAGCAGGCACCTGCTGGCCAGGGAAGGAAGAGTCGACAGGGTGCCTAAGGTAGGTCTCCTCCAACCTCAAGGATAGCCCTGGCCCAGCTGATGTCTGCTGCAGACCTGCCTGCCTCGGGAGAGGCCAGGTGGAATTCAAGTGGAAATTCAGCTTACTGCCCAAAACTTACTGAGTGCAAGGAACCGAAGGCAGCTAGGCCTCAGATAACAATATCCATCTCTGCCTCCTCGGAAAGAAATCCTCCCAAGAACCAGACTCAGGATTTTCAGAAGGATCCAACCTCTCTCCGGCAGGCAAAACATCCCCTCTAAGTGGTCATCTGACATCGATGGGCTGGGGTTCCTCTAGCCAAGTAGACCTCACCCTTCCCAAGATGACAGCCTACCCATCCTGCACGGCATCAGGGGTACAACGAAGACTAAGGCGGCAAGAACAGATGACTTCCTGTTACGCTGGCCATTTTCATACCCCTTCCTTTTAACAGCCCTCCAAATACAGAAGCGCATGTTGGGTCCAAGTGAAACCACCTCTGCTCCCAGTCCCTCGTGACTGAGCCCCCCACCACCCTGGAAGCTCCTCTCTTGAGCCTGCAATGGTTCATCATACCCACCCCAGATAGATGTTACGAGGCTAGGGCTTCAGGTCGATTTCCTGTGGGGGAAAAAAACAAAAAACAAAACAAACAAACAAAAAAAAAAACAAGCCTGGCGGGACTTCCCCGGCGGTCCAGTGGCTAGGACTCCACGCTTCCAGCGCAGGGGGAGTGGGTTTGATCCCTGGTCAGGGAAGTAAGATCCCACATGCCAGGTGGCGCGGCCAAAAAAAAAAAAAAAGCCTGGAAGCACCCAAATAAAAGAACACACTCAAATCCAAGTTTGCTGGAGTGCCACGTGCTACATCCCCCTCTTCACCATTTCAGCACCCCAAACGTTACCCAAAGGAATTAAGACCACCGGCTAGGCACAGAAGACAGTAAGCCCCCGTGCCAAACTCTGAAGAACCTCTGAGGCTGCCAAGGGTAGGTAAGCCTGGACCCTTGTCAACAACCAACAACAGGGCAGATAATACAAATACAGGCTGATTTGCAATAAACCTCTACCCACCCCCTCAAAGCTCAGCAGACTTCCAGCCACAGCCAAAGGAACCAGCCATTGGTTTAGCTGTAAGGATGAGAAATCAACCAATGCCCTCCCTCCTCCTCCCAGCACCTACATCGTCTACAAAGGACAAGACTACAGGCAGAGTAAAACCACAAACCAAGCAAAACCAGTTTCACCATCAATTTCTTGAAAAAATGGGTTTATTGATTTTTAAACTGCAAATAGTCGTTACAAAAAGTTTTTTTTTCTTTTAAATAAATTCACACAAAGAAAGAGAAATAGAAAGCGACGGTAGTGACCAGCAAGAGGAATAATAATTACATTCATCTTAATGTGTGTGTGCCAGTTCTGTTTGCATTAACATTGGAAAACTCCAAAACCTGGAATCCAGAACCTCAAATCTGCAATCGGAATGTCTAGAGATGGGCACGTGAAGTCAAAGGGTTTCTTTTTTTTTTTTTTTCCCTTTTAGAAGCTATACATTAAAAGTTGTTTTCCTTCTGTACTGTCACAGAACTTTTACATACATTCTCAGTCCTAGTTGTGAAAGGCCAAAAGAGAAAGAAACTCAATTTGCAGTCCAACACAAAGGGGGGAAATTTCTAAAATAAATAATCCAACAGTTTTTTGCATTTTTTTAAATTAATTTTTCATTTTTTTAAAATAAAATAACCAAAAAAAAGTGTAAAGTTACAAAAAATGTCGTTGAAGAATAATATATTAAAACTGTGGAAAAAAAGGAAAAAGACACGTCACAAAATTTTAAGATTAATATGAAGATCATAATTTAACATAAAAGAATATATTCTATGGATTTGTCATCCCGATAAATATGAACAAAATTAACAAAAAAAAGCATAGTTTGGCAATAAATACGTTTTGATAAGTTAAATAAGCTTTTTTATATTGATGTGCAGTGACAAGCAAAATTTTTTGCTCTCCAATTTCTGAAGTTATATGAAGTTTAAAACCCAGGGAAAAAAGCATGGCGTGAGTGCTCTAAGGATAGACCTACGGTATTCTAGAGCAAAAACCATTAAAGCTACTTCTAAGGGAAATCGTTTTACACAGATATTGTATGTGGAATGAATACCATTAACTGCTCACCCCTTACATGTTTTTAAGCTTTTCTCTCATTTTTTTTTTGTTTTTTTTTTTTTTTAAGATGTCACATACGAACTGGGGAACTTTAGCACCAAAATCAAGTCTCTCATAGTCCATCTAGCTTCCCCTTCCTCCCCACTTAAAACAAAAGAAAAAAAATTAAATCACAAAGTCCCACTTATGTCACAACCTTCATCCGCTTTTGCAGTCTTCCTTCCTGCAGACCAACACGAACCCAGGCAAGATTAGTCAACAGAGGTTCAGGTCGGGAAGAAAAAGGTTTTGAATGTCAAGCTAGGTTTCCCCAAAAA